ACTAACATCACTAAGAAGGTTGTGTATTTTGGTAATCTCTGTAGTTAGTTGTGGTTACTTGAGAGATTACTTCTGTTTTAATATATTCCACAGCCTCATTCAATTGCCTTGTTGCCACATTGAAGTAACCTACTATTGGGTTTATTGGGTTTTCAAATTTTGCAACCTCATTTCCCCCCAGGTTTGCTTTATTGGCCTGGGTGCCAGAGGATTAGTCTGATTTGTGTGTTCTCATGTCTTTTCTGTTTCAGTTGAATTCTTGGAGTGATACTTGCTAGTTTCCTAACAGTATGAACTGAATTCGGGAAGATAAAACAGAATGCAAACAATCATAAACAATATATGAATTCATGATTTGTCCAATCTGTCCTCAAGGGTTAAGATTCAAAATATATTTCAGAGGAAGAAGAGTAATGGCCAAAGGGAAAGAGATTACAATACAACGGAGATGGTAGATGGATCCCACCTACTGGGGGAAACTAATGCAGAAGACTAAATGAGATTTGAAAGAGAAAAATTGAAATCCAAACAAAAGCATACCCACAGGGAAGTTAGGAATCACAGTCACCCGCAGAAATTAAGAACAAAATAAAGGAGAAATTAAAAGCAGATGAATAAAACAAGAAAATACCAAACCAAAAAGAAAAATGAATGAAAAAAAAATCGTTCTCTTCCAGGATTCTCTCTGGATTCATTATTAGATGCCCTATGGATACAGTGTTCTGAGTTCCGCCATTCTTTCCCTTCAAACCAGGCACTGCCTTATGATGGAGTAGTAGACAGCATTAGCCAGCCTGCCTCAAGAGGAGGCTCATTTGAATAAGCTCATTCCAATCAATTTCCATGTGTCTGCACCCAACTAGGGTCTTCTAAAGGAAGCCAGCAGCTGTTCTGGTTAAGGTTCATCTGGCTTCACTTCAACATGGCTCCCGCCAAACATTCCCTCCCGCTGAATGACAAAATCCTTCTCCATTCTGTGCCAGACAGTAAAGACCTCGATGTCTGCTGCTTAGCTACACTGCTGAGCCTCTCAGCATTGTCCACTGGCCTCACTAGCTATCACTGTTACCAGGAACAAGAGTCCCCAGGTCCAAACATCTCCCCTCACTAGTGTTGATGATTTCCTGATTCTGCAATAACTAGCATAACCAAAATAGGTTCAATGCCCCTATCAGTGCAATACCCAACAATCATCATTGCTGTGCTCTCTTAGTTAATTTTAGGTTCTGAATTTTATACAAAATATGTGCACTAGTTGTAATTCAGTTGTGTAGATTTTGATACTTCTACATTAAGAAGATACTTTCTTGTACAAAATGACAAGAAAAATAGAAATCATGGGTAATTTGTAATAAATTTTCTTCTCTATAGCTACTTTTACAAATATGAGCATAACACTCACTATTAGAGATACACACACACACACACACACAGGCACACAAACACACACACAAAATGTAGTAAAGCTAATGAAATGCAAGCTCTTGAATTTCCTTTTAAATAGGGTAAAATTTTTCCAAAATTAACCCTTCTTAGAATATTGTATAAGTTTCTTCCTTGGATACACTGTGGAATTCCATTTGCATGGAAAATGTCATCAGCCTTGTAGGAACATTTTGTACATTTTTTCATGAATTCTCTTTGTGTAGCAATGCCTTTTAAACCAGGCTAATGAAAGGTGGGAAAATGCTGCTTTTGTTTCTAATCCAGCCCTAGAGCTATGTTAGAACTGAAGGGGCAAAAATTTTTCCACATTCTTGTGTACAGATACAAGAGTATTGCCTGGCATATACCTTGTGATACATAGTAAGTTGCGGTTTATTGAGATTACAAGATGACAGTAGGATGAATTACAAGTGCAAAATGGAAAGTAAAGAGGAATAGAAACTTTAAAGATTCAGGGTTACAGTACCTAAGAATTTAGACCGAGATGTCTTCCACAGAGGTGTGATAAGGCTAATCCATGTGCCTGCTTTCAAGGTCAGGTACATTTGGCTCCTGTTGCTTCCCATTTTGGTTAGAAAACTCTAAATCTGTTCCATGTTTTCCTAGGGTTGTTGATTTTCTGAGTGAGAGATCACTACATGCTAACTATACACATAAATAATCAGTCATATTGTGATTAGACTTGAATGAAGGAAACGAAATGGTTCATGCAAGTTTACTATTTGTCACTAGTCTCCTACCACTTTCATCATCCGGGACTCCTGGATAGATACTTTATTTATTAGTGTGTTGTTTGCACATAAGAGTTGGAAGTGTCACAAGATGCCTTCACTAGTAGCTCGAGAATGTGTGACACACAACTTTGGATGATACAGGTAAATTGGTGCCTCCGGGGACTTTGGCAGGCCTTTCAGTGCTTGCCAAATGCAGTTGGTGATTTCCTTGCTTCAGAATGCCTGTAAAGTTATGGCAAATTCTTGTTCATCTTCTGTCATATATGTTTCTTAGAATTAAGCAGTCAAACAAGTGGTTTCTTCAAAAAAGTCTTCTGCTAGTAATGTTGGATTAGCATTAACCCCCATCGAATCCCAACATCGCAGAGGGATGATTGTTTTCTGGGAACGGGAGCACTTCAGCCTTCAAGAGTTCACAACTGTGACACCAACTGAGGGAATGAACAGGCATTCTCAGTCCTAACTCCTAATGCTTAACAGCTGGCATGTCATTCTCACAAGAGTGTTAATATAGCGCCATATCTCACTGGTTGCCCTTCAGCCACTTAAGCTGCAGTTCTTGCCTGGTTCCTCTCTAGAATTGCAAGGAAAACATTCTTTTGGTCAATTTGTACATTCAATATAACTTCTGTTTCTATGAAGCACTTGACAATAAGTCACTGTAACACATATTTGTACTCAGAGAAGCTGAGAAGACCTGTGCTTGCCCTGAAAAATCTTCTGCCCTAATCCACTTTGCTCCATTCATTTCACTATGAGGAAATTACACTTTGTAAGTTATTTTCAATGTTTTTTGTTGTTCATTTGATGCAGTGATAGAAACTCATACTTTTTAATTTCCACATTTCATGTAAAAGATAATAATTATTTACATATTTGGAAAGAAAAAAAATTAACATTTGAATGTTCTCCCTTGTAGGATGAACAGCGATTCCCAAGCAACTGGGATGACTCCTACCTAATCAGCAAGTCAGGTATGGACAGCTGAGGAATCTGTGTTCTGAAAGTTTTCACACAAAAAATTAATAAAAATTTTCCTTTTTTCCTCCTTTAAAGCTTTTCCTGTTTTATTCTCTTTAATGAGGAGGAGAGAATGGACGTGAAATAAAACTTGAGGGTGATAATACCAAAACACATATTCCCACAACATCTAAGAACCATAGTTCTTTTCAAGAAATATGCACACAGAGTGAATTATTTTGTCTCATTTTCAACAATCTCAGCCAGCTTGAGGTGAGAAAAGGACACTTCTAGGAGTAAGGACACAAGAATAGGACATATGTATGCCAAATATCTGCAAAAGTCAGGCAGTAAACTGAGCCAAAGAAGCACTTGCCTGGCAATGACCAGGTTGTGAGTTGTGAGTTCAAGCCATGATAAAGACTGAGAGAGATAGAGATAGATAGACAGACATACAGACAGACAGATAGACATATATATATATATATATATATATATATAGAGAGAGAGAGAGAGAGAGAGAGAGAGAGAGAGAGAAAGAGAGAGAGACAAAACTCTTAGTGATTTTACTGCATAGTTGTTATACAGGTTGTTATCCCATATTGACATTCATGAAGATTTACACAACCAGCACATAAAGGGTTACCAGCTGTAAGCCCTGATTAAACAAATGTTTTGAAATCTGTACCTGTTCAAGACAAGGGGATCCATTTCTTTATATATTTTTAGAAGCTCTGAGCCATTACAGATTCTAGGTGATTCCAGAGTAACACCACTAATGATTTTTACAAAAGCCCAAACTTTGAGATGAAACCCACTACGTTTTCATTTTTAATTTTAATTCTATTCTTCATAATACCATAGAAACATGTATTCTATTCTTATGAATATTAAATGTTCACAGTGAGAAAGCTCTTTTTGAGATTTATAGTGTGAATTTGCCAACAGCCATTTCTCAGTGCAGTTGTAAGTAATAAATTTTGCTTCCTCAACATGAATTCCTCTGAAATACATAAAACACTTCTACTTTTAATTCTCTTTCATGCCATTTTCGTAAATCTGAGCATTTTCCTCTCTTTTTTCTCCAGGACCATGATTGGACTGCTCGCTCAGAGGCCTAGATTTTGCGGGAATGTGCTGTAGTGCTTGTGCTGCCTGTCTGTGTCACTGGGACAGGACAACATGAGCAAAGACTTGCATTGTGTGATTGTCCTTTGGCTTCAGCAGCCTGAGTTCTGGGTCATTTATTTCTGCCATCTACTATGTTAATTAGTGACATTGTACATCCACTGTGTTCATCCCGTGGATGGGCCTGAAATCATCAGCACACTGAAATTTTTCTTAGCTTCTGAATCTAACACACAGAAAAAGGATGAGGAGCCAAACAACTGTACAAAGTAAGATTCAGGTTTATTTACAGAGAAAAGTGAGGGACAGCAAAAAGCCCGTGTTACAAGTGGGGTGCCCAGGGATGCATGATGGTGCAGAAAGCCAGGAAGGAGTCTTGCATTTACAGAGTGAAGTTCATGGTCCCTGCCTCTAAGGGTAGCCCCACCCCAGGTCTGCCTTCAACATTGACAGGAGTTTTGGTTTCCGTTTGGCATCGACACTGTAAAAACCCACTTTGCTCAATATTATAAAACACAGATTTGAAAATGCATGATACACGACTTCTAAATTCTCAGTATCGCATTTCCTTTTTCTGACCTTAAGACGGTGGTCCCTTCTCTCCCCTAGAGAGGCACAATTTAATATTTCCACATAGAAGAGTGAAGTTTCCACGGATTTCCCTAGCATATTATGGTTCAGGGGCAGCAAATGTGGCCAGGGTTTTGGGAAGATAAATGGAGATGTGGGATCTTAGGACAGTCTCACACGCTTGCATGGGGGTACCAGGAATGCACACTGCATGGAAACCAGAGAGTGATAGGCTTCGGCCACCAAGTGAGGGTGGGACACCACCATGGCCTTCCACTCAGAGGTCTCCAGGATGTCAGAAACATGAAAATTGATGAAATCCAGTGTCCGGGTTTTCAACTGATGTGCACTGTGGAGGTCAGCCAAGATGAGGATTTCCATGGCATTCTCCACAGAGAGGTTGCTGCACAGGTGGTTCTCACACATGAGCTTCAGGCGCTCCAGACCAAACCTGCTTGCAGCCTCCAGCAGTTCAGTTGCCATGATCCCTAGGTTTGGTGCCTTTCCAGTGTACATAAAGTATATCATTTCCTTAAAAACTTCAGGATCCATGTCACTGATTTCAACACGATTCTTTTTGCTTCCTTGCTTTTCATGTTCCAACAACGCCATGAAAACTGGAGAGCGAGCTGCTAAGATGGCTTTGTGAGCCTGGAATTCCTGGCCAGCCACACACAAGCAACAGTCTGAGAGCTGGGATCGCTCCCACAGTCCTCCTAGATCCTCTGCCAAGCAGCCCTCAGGAACCTTAACCAGCTTCCTAATATTCTGGCTGGAATGATTGGTGGGATCTTGTGCTACTTTCACTTCACAGAAGAAGGAAAGCTTGTCATTGGAGAGAAGCCCATTGTTTGGATCCAAAAGAAACTCTCTAAGGATGAAATGTTTGAATCCCCAGTCCTTTCCTCGCACAAATGTATAAGCTTGTGGACTTGAGAGCACCTTGGTTTTCTCTCCTTTGGCATTCAGAATGGAAAAGGTGAATTTTGCATGAGCTACCCTCCTTGGACAGCAGATCATTCCCAGGTATAAGCACACATAATCTTTGCTTTGTTCATCAAGACCATTTGGGTAGAGTCGTAAGCACCATTTCACTTGATCATTTCCTTCAGCTGAAAAGATTGAACTTTGAATGCAGTCATCTATTTCCTTTAGGCAAAATCTAATGTTATCAATGGTCCACAAAAAGGACACGTTCACTACTTTGATGTCTGTGGTGTACCTGCTGTCCACTGTGGGCCCCTGTGACATTTCTGCTGGGCCTGCGGTACTGGAAACCATTAACATCAGCAGAGTGAAAGTGCAGCAAGCTTGTCAAGTCACACGAATCAAATTTCTTCTTCACCAGATGGCACAAATTTCACTGCAGTCAGCAGTTCCAAGACAGGCAGGGCAGTATGGCAATCACAAGTAGAGAGCCTAGTTTATAGATTAAAAGAAATACTTATTTAGAAATAAGCTGACTGAGATTTCCTAGTATATAAGTCAATTCTGAAAAGTTTCTTGATCACTCAAAGAAATAGCTCACCAAAATGCACAGACCTTAAAATACGAAGCCTTGTTGAGTCCCGTCTGAGTTCCTTTCAGGAGGCTAATTCATCTGGGCTGGAAGCAAGGATATGAATTCCAAGTTTCAAGCAGGGAACCACCTCATCATGGAAACAGAAAGGATTCTTCCTTCTTGGTGTCCCTTTTATAACTCTTAGGACAGGATCCACCCTATGGTGGTTCTTCCCACCCTATTCTAATCCAATTGCCCTAGGTGTGTCTCACTCAAAATGTGAGAGTCAGTCAATTTTCATCCTACCTGTCTTTTCTATATGTTTATGAAAACAGTCTGTTTGACTAGCCCAGAATTTCTTTTGTCTCATTCATATGGGGGAGTTCTCTGGTCTATCGTCTTCCTGCCATTTCCAGAAGATGAGAGGCTAGGGTGGAGGATAGTAACTCCAGCATGCCACTGTTCTCAGTAGGCCCTCTGTGTTTATTCCTTTCTGGTGGTAAGGAGCAAAGCAGGACAGATCGGTCAATAAGGCACCTTTTCCCTTGGGATCACATGTGGGTGAAAGCCAGTTGCAGGGAAGTAATGTGAAGGGAGCAGATTCAAGGCTCCATGAGAAATAGGTGTGCTGGGAGTGAAGAGGTGGTTCTTCTGGGTAATCTGATACAGTGTCGGGAGCAAGGGACATGGATTTGGGACAGGCACAAACAGTGAATATTGGCAGAATGTCTCTAAACCTAAAGTCTAGTGTGGGACAACTGTAAATGCTACTTCCTCAGAGCTTTTAGATCTCCTACTAACCTAGTTCACTCCTTGGACCCAATGTTTGGAAACAGTAATATTACTGAGTTCCACTGGCATTTCCTGGGACATGGGTCATGCTGGGAGTGCCAGGAGTCCAGGCAAACCCTCTCCCCACCATGAGCAGCTGTGAGTCTGCCAGCCTGCAGGCTGAGAAACAAACATCACATCTTCTCCCCCTATCCCATTAGCATGTCGGAGCCAGTAATCTGGACGTCCCTTGAGAGGTTGACCCTAGGCAATGTAGTAAGGAGGGGATTTCCTTCTATCATCTCTTTGAAGCCCAATACTTTTATCCATCTTTTGGTTTGTTCTATAAAATATGGTCTTTTTTTTTAAAGCTGGTTGTGTTTAACTGAGTTTCCACATACATGAAAGTATGCATAGGCATTTTGAAGCAAACAACCGATTCTAGCACAGCCATTAGTGACTTCCTTTTTGTCTGATTTTAAAGACCTAAAACTCCTTTCTCAGACTGTTTGGATTAATTTTATACTAGGTTTCTCAGTATGAATTCTGTGTTTCAAGACATGGACAACTATTTGGAAGAAAAAAATAGACAACATGATAGATAGGGAAGATTTCAGATTATCTAGTTTTGAAATTTATATCTCTTACATTGCGTTATTATGTCCAATTTTGCTCTGTTTTGTTGTGTTTAATTTTATCTCCTTTCACAAAAATAACAATGCTGATTTGCAGGGTGTGGGCGAACACATCATTAATCCCAGCACTCTCAAAGCTGAGGCAGGAATATCATTGCAGTTTCAAGGACATGTGGGATTAAATACTAACTTGAATTAAAAACCAAAAGAATGAAAGGACAGAGGGAATGAGGGATGGAAGGAAGCAAGGAACGAAAGAAGGAAGCAAGAAAGGAAGGAAGAAAGGAAGGAAGAAAAGAAGGAAGGAAGGAAGGAAGGTAGGTAGACAGTAAGAAGGGCTACCACTTCAGGGATAGATATCACTGGCTTTCTTCCAAAGCTTCTCTTTTTTCTGTTTTACATACTCAGAGTGTGATCCAGTTTTCCTCCAGCCTCACAAGTGTTACATACCCTCATGTACTTGGGGACCTTATTGGAAGGAGCACAACAGTCCTCATCCCTAACAGATATTTTTTTTTCTCTTTTTCATTTTTATTGTTACCAGGGATAGAACTCAGGACTACAGCTTGCCAGGAAATTGCTTATGCTACTGAGAGAAATCCCCAGCCCATCCCTAACAGATTTTAATACTCTATTTTTATTTGAATGTCTGCAAACTTGTCTATTACACATGGGCAGGTAGAATTCTTTTAATCAGTGCTAACTGGAGAAATAATTGCCTCAATTATTGGTAGGTTAAATTCCTCTTCTGTACCAGGAAAGCTTTCTGTCATGATGTCTACAAAGTGCTTTTAATGTCATTTGTTGTCTCTCCTCGTCACTAAGTGCCAGCCTGTACTCAGTATGTGAAGTCCTTTCCTCAAACTGGCCTAAAGTGCTCTGAATTTTTAAAATGGATTTTTTTCTCTTGCATATCGGCTTGAATCTATTTAATGGGTTCATTTATTTCTTAGGTTGTGCTTCAACAGTTCTTGTAAGCTCGCCTTTTTTTTTGGGCTGTGTCTGAACTAACATCACTAAGAAGGTTGTGTATTTTGGTAATCTCTGTAGTTAGTTGTGGTTACTTGAGAGATTACTTCTGTTTTAATATATTCCACAGCCTCATTCAATTGCCTTGTTGCCACATTGAAGTAACCTACCATTGGGTTTTCAAATTTTGCAACCTCATTTCCCCCCAGGTTTGCTTTATTGGCCTGGGTGCCAGAGGATTAGTCTGATTTGTGTGTTCTCATGTCTTTTCTGTTTCAACTGAATTCCTGGAGTGATACTTGGTAGTTTCCTAACAGTATGATCTGAATTCGGGACGATAAAACAGAATGCAAACAATCATAAACAATATATGAATTCATGATTTGTCCAATCTGTCCTCAAGGGTTAAGATTCAAAATATATTTCAGAGGAAGAAGAGTAATGGCCAAAGGGAAAGAGATTACAATACAACGGAGATGGTAGATGGATCCCACCTACTGGGGGAAACTAATGCAGAAGACTAAATGAGATTTGAAAGAGAAAAATTGAAATCCAAACAAAAGCATACCCACAGGGAAGTTAGGAATCACAGTCACCCGCAGAAATTAAGAACAAAATAAAGGAGAAATTAAAAGCAGATGAATAAAACAAGAAAATACCAAACCAAAAAGAAAAATGAATGAAAAAAAAATCGTTCTCTTCCAGGATTCTCTCTGGATTCATTATTAGATGCCCTATGGATACAGTGTTCTGAGTTCCGCCATTCTTTCCCTTCAAACCAGGCACTGCCTTATGATGGAGTAGTAGACAGCATTAGCCAGCCTGCCTCAAGAGGAGGCTCATTTGAATAAGCTCATTCCAATCAATTTCCATGTGTCTGCACCCAACTAGGGTCTTCTAAAGGAAGCCAGCAGCTGTTCTGGTTAAGGTTCATCTGGCTTCACTTCAACATGGCTCCCGCCAAACATTCCCTCCCGCTGAATGACAAAATCCTTCTCCATTCTGTGCCAGACAGTAAAGACCTCGATGTCTGCTGCTTACCTACACTGCTGAGCCTCTCAGCATTGTCCACTGGCCTCACTAGCTATCACTGTTACCAGGAACAAGAGTCCCCAGGTCCAAACATCTCCCCTCACTAGTGTTGATGATTTCCTGATTCTGCAATAACTAGCATAACCAAAATAGGTTCAATGCCCCTATCAGTGCAATACCCAACAATCATCATTGCTGTGCTCTCTTAGTTAATTTTAGGTTCTGAATTTTATACAAAATATGTGCACTAGTTGTAATTCAGTTGTGTAGATTTTGATACTTCTACATTAAGAAGATACTTTCTTGTACAAAATGACAAGAAAAATAGAAATCATGGGTAATTTGTAATAAATTTTCTTCTCTATAGCTACTTTTACAAATATGAGCATAACACTCACTATTAGAGATACACACACACACACACACACACAGGCACACAAACACACACACAAAATGTAGTAAAGCTAATGAAATGCAAGCTCTTGAATTTCCTTTTAAATAGGGTAAAATTTTTCCAAAATTAACCCTTCTTAGAATATTGTATAAGTTTCTTCCTTGGATACACTGTGGAATTCCATTTGCATGGAAAATGTCATCAGCCTTGTAGGAACATTTTGTACATTTTTTCATGAATTCTCTTTGTGTAGCAATGCCTTTTAAACCAGGCTAATGAAAGGTGGGAAAATGCTGCTTTTGTTTCTAATCCAGCCCTAGAGCTATGTTAGAACTGAAGGGGCAAAAATTTTTCCACATTCTTGTGTACAGATACAAGAGTATTGCCTGGCATATACCTTGTGATACATAGTAAGTTGCGGTTTATTGAGATTACAAGATGACAGTAGGATGAATTACAAGTGCAAAATGGAAAGTAAAGAGGAATAGAAACTTTAAAGATTCAGGGTTACAGTACCTAAGAATTTAGACCGAGATGTCTTCCACAGAGGTGTGATAAGGCTAATCCATGTGCCTGCTTTCAAGGTCAGGTACATTTGGCTCCTGTTGCTTCCCATTTTGGTTAGAAAACTCTAAATCTGTTCCATGTTTTCCTAGGGTTGTTGATTTTCTGAGTGAGAGATCACTACATGCTAACTATACACATAAATAATCAGTCATATTGTGATTAGACTTGAATGAAGGAAACGAAATGGTTCATGCAAGTTTACTATTTGTCACTAGTCTCCTACCACTTTCATCATCCGGGACTCCTGGATAGATACTTTATTTATTAGTGTGTTGTTTGCACATAAGAGTTGGAAGTGTCACAAGATGCCTTCACTCGTAGCTCGAGAATGTGTGACACACAACTTTGGATGATACAGGTAAATTGGTGCCTCCGGGGACTTTGGCAGGCCTTTCAGTGCTTGCCAAATGCAGTTGGTGATTTCCTTGCTTCAGAATGCCTGTAAAGTTATGGCAAATTCTTGTTCATCTTCTGTCATATATGTTTCTTAGAATTAAGCAGTCAAACAAGTGGTTTCTTCAAAAAAGTCTTCTGCTAGTAATGTTGGATTAGCATTAACCCCCATCGAATCCCAACATCGCAGAGGGATGATTGTTTTCTGGGAACGGGAGCACTTCAGCCTTCAAGAGTTCACAACTGTGACACCAACTGAGGGAATGAACAGGCATTCTCAGTCCTAACTCCTAATGCTTAACAGCTGGCATGTCATTCTCACAAGAGTGTTAATATAGCGCCATATCTCACTGGTTGCCCTTCAGCCACTTAAGCTGCAATTCTTGCCTGGTTCCTCTGTAGAATTGCAAGGAAAACATTCTTTTGGTCAATTTGTACATTCAATATAACTTCTGTTTCTATGAAGCACTTGACAATAAGTCACTGTAACACATATTTGTACTCAGAGAAGCTGAGAAGACCTGTGCTTGCCCTGAAAAATCTTCTGCCCTAATCCACTTTGCTCCATTCATTTCACTATGAGGAAATTACACTTTGTAAGTTATTTTCAATGTTTTTTGCTGTTCATTTGAGGCAGTGATAGAAACTCATACTTTTTAATTTCCACATTTCATGTAAAAGATAATAATTATTTACATATTTGGAAAGAAAAAAAATTAACATTTGAATGTTCTCCCTTGTAGGATGAACAGCGATTCCCAAGCAACTGGGATGACTCCTACCTAATCAGCAAGTCAGGTATGGACAGCTGAGGAATCTGTGTTCTGAAAGTTTTCACACAAAAAATTAATAAAAATTTTCCTTTTTTCCTCCTTTAAAGCTTTTCCTGTTTTATTCTCTTTAATGAGGAGGAGAGAATGGACGTGAAATAAAACTTGAGGGTGATAATACCAAAACACATATTCCCACAACATCTAAGAACCATAGTTCTTTTCAAGAAATATGCACACAGAGTGAATTATTTTGTCTCATTTTCAACAATCTCAGCCAGCTTGAGGTGAGAAAAGGACACTTCTAGGAGTAAGGACACAAGAATAGGACATATGTATGCCAAATATCTGCAAAAGTCAGGCAGTAAACTGAGCCAAAGAAGCACTTGCCTGGCAATGACCAGGTTGTGAGTTGTGAGTTCAAGCCATGATAAAGACTGAGAGAGATAGAGATAGATAGACAGACATACAGACAGACAGATAGACATATATATATATATATATATAGAGAGAGAGAGAGAGAGAGAGAGAGAGAGAGAGAGAAAGAGAGAGAGACAAAACTCTTAGTGATTTTACTGCATAGTTGTTATACAGGTTGTTATCCCATATTGACATTCATGAAGATTTACACAACCAGCACATAAAGGGTTACCAGCTGTAAGCCCTGATTAAACAAATGTTTTGAAATCTGTACCTGTTCAAGACAAGGGGATCCATTTCTTTATATATTTTTAGAAGCTCTGAGCCATTACAGATTCTAGGTGATTCCAGAGTAACACCACTAATGATTTTTACAAAAGCCCAAACTTTGAGATGAAACCCACTACGTTTTCATTTTTAATTTTAATTCTATTCTTCATAATACCATAGAAACATGTATTCTATTCTTATGAATATTAAATGTTCACAGTGAGAAAGCTCTTTTTGAGATTTATAGTGTGAATTTGCCAACAGCCATTTCTCAGTGCAGTTGTAAGTAATAAATTTTGCTTCCTCAACATGAATTCCTCTGAAATACATAAAACACTTCTACTTTTAATTCTCTTTCATGCCATTTTCGTAAATCTGAGCATTTTCCTCTCTTTTTTCTCCAGGACCATGATTGGACTGCTCGCTCAGAGGCCTAGATTTTGCGGGAATGTGCTGTAGTGCTTGTGCTGCCTGTCTGTGTCACTGGGACAGGACAACATGAGCAAAGACTTGCATTGTGTGATTGTCCTTTGGCTTCAGCAGCCTGAGTTCTGGGTCATTTATTTCTGCCATCTACTATGTTAATTAGTGACATTGTACATCCACTGTGTTCATCCCGTGGATGGGCCTGAAATCATCAGCACACTGAAATTTTTCTTAGCTTCTGAATCTAACACACAGAAAAAGGATGAGGAGCCAAACAACTGTACAAAGTAAGATTCAGGTTTATTTACAGAGAAAAGTGAGGGACAGCAAAAAGCCCGTGTTACAAGTGGGGTGCCCAGGGATGCATGATGGTGCAGAAAGCCAGGAAGGAGTCTTGCATTTACAGAGTGAAGTTCATGGTCCCTGCCTCTAAGGGTAGCCCCACCCCAGGTCTGCCTTCAACATTGACAGGAGTTTTGGTTTCCGTTTGGCATCGACACTGTAAAAACCCACTTTGCTCAATATTATAAAACACAGATTTGAAAATGCATGATACACGACTTCTAAATTCTCAGTATCGCATTTCCTTTTTCTGACCTTAAGACGGTGGTCCCTTCTCTCCCCTAGAGAGGCACAATTTAATATTTCCACATAGAAGAGTGAAGTTTCCACGGATTTCCCTAGCATATTATGGTTCAGGGGCAGCAAATGTGGCCAGGGTTTTGGGAAGATAAATGGAGATAGATGTGGGATCTCAGGACAGTCTCACACGC